CGTTGGTTAACATCGACCAGACTACACAGCGCAACAACCCAGAAGACGGAAATCTTCATACTCACCGCTGTGAGAACCTCAAGTCTTACGAATAATTTTCTCTCTGATTATTTATGTTAAATACTTTTTTTTCTCTCGTGTTTAGAATGAAAACAAATCCGTTGAATTACTTACAACGGTACTTATTTTTAGAATCGGTTTACTTCTTGCAATTTTGCAGTGGCCCACATCCCTGGACCTGGCAAGGCTCCGTCTTAAACGGGCCTATAACACCTTGTGGCCAAAATTCCACTTAAATTGTGAACAAAGGCCTGCTTCTTTAGGAAACACATCTTTCTCCAAGGCTGTGGGAAATTAAACAACGCGCGCCTAGTCAAGCCTTTCCTAAAAACTGTAATATCGCCTCATCTACACAGTCGATAAATGTCTAAAGTTATTGCAGATTTACAATATATACTTTAAGATATTGTAGGTGCGTCATATTGTGATTTTATTTAAAAATAGTATTAAAATATATTAAAATTGTCCGTCAATCACAATAAAGTAATATAAGATAATTAAATGGTTAAAATATTATTATTTTGTTCCGTATCGAGTACTCGATTTACATATGGAACATTCTCGACATGCTGCGTGTATTGGTCTGTGAATTAAAGGATTCAAAACCATTAATGAAATTAACATCACTCCGACAATACGATTGTATCAATGATATATAACACAACAACAAATGTTGATACAATGTGAAAAATGAAGAAATGATACGAAAATTAAAAATTAGTAATTGAATTAAGAGTTTATAACATACACCTGATGACGGCTCTATGAAAGCCGAAACATGTCGAGAATGTTCCATATGTAAATCGAGTACTCGATACGGAACAAAATAATAATATTTTAACCATTTAATTATCTTATATTACTTTATTGTGATTGACGGACAATTTTAATATATTTTAATACTATTTTTAAATATATACCTTCATTTTCGACTCAGTAATAGTAAATCGAAGTACATTTACGCTGCATTCTCACAGTGACTTGGGTGAAATTTGAGAGTACGCGGTTAGTCCACGTAGGCCTAAATGCCTATGCTAACCGCACCGCAACGCCTTCTTAGACAGCTCAATTGCCATTA